GGGACCTGCACGGTAAACGTGTCTTTACGGGGACCTGCACGGCACACGTGTCTTTACCGGGACCTGCACGGTAAACGGGGTCTTTACCGGGACCTGCACGGTAAACGGAGTCTTTACCGGGACCTGCACGGTAAACGTGTCTTTACCGGGACCTGCACGGTAAACGGTGTCTTTACCGGGACCTGCACGGTAAACGTGTCTTTACGGGGACCTGCACGGTAAACGTGTCTTTACGGGGACCTGCACGGCACACGTGTCTTTACCGGGACCTGCACGGTAAACGGGGTCTTTACCGGGACCTGCACGGTAAACGGAGTCTTTACCGGGACCTGCACGGTAAACGTGTCTTTACCGGGACCTGCACGGTAAACGGTGTCTTTACCGGGACCTGCACGGTAAACGTGTCTTTACGGGGACCTGCACGGTAAACGTGTCTTTACGGGGACCTGCACGGTAAACGTGTCTTTACGGGGACCTGCATGGTAAACGGGGTCTTTAGGAATCCTTGTGACGTCAAAATATGAATCTAGTGAGTAATCAAAAATAGTTACGAGTTCGTAATTTCATCAGCCAATCCCTGATGGCTATTCAAGCTATACTCGCCAATCATAGATGAAAAAGTGGCCGCTCCGTGTACTTGCTCCATTTGCTATACAACAGGGGACTCAAGGCATTAAATGTACTCAATGTACTATTAAGCAATGTAGTAAATGGTCCTGGGACCTTTGCTTTTACTTGCCAAAATGGAGATTATGGAAGATCATTAAGAATTAATTATGTTTTCCGCAAACCAAGTTCATAGGAAAACTGTTAAAGATTTGCCTACTGCCTCGTGCAGGTTCAGAGAAGACATGTCACGGAGGCTCACCTACTGCCTCGTGCAGGTTCAGAGAAGACATGTCACTGCTCACCTACTGCCTCGTGCAGGTTCAGAGAAGACATGTTCAGCACTAGTGTCACCAGCTGCGTGTTGTCGGGCAGCTTAGACACCGACTCCACCTCCGTTGGCCGGCTGCATGTAGGGCACGCCACCTGAAAATTTGTTTCATTTCTTAACAGAACTACAATTTTCCTAAAACTTGTCTATTCTCGAAAATTTTAGGTTATGTTCAATTCAATTTCAATGCGTGAGATGAAGTTCGCTGCGAGATGAGCATTCCCCACAGTGTGGGGCTGGCTTCACTGTCGGGGAACATGTATATTGCAAGGGAGGAACGCAGGAAAGAGCATGTAGCGGTTTCGTTCAAGACTCTGAATTGAAATAATAAAAATATTTTGAAATTTAGAATTAGATTTAATTGTAAAAAATATTTGATTATATATGAACGTCACCACAATGAACACAACAATAGTTAACTTCATTCCAACTTTTAATATTTCGATTCATTCCACCAGAACTTCTTATTACAGGTTCTATACATAGACCAAAGAAAAGCGTCTTTATTTTCCCAAATTGAATGAATGATGCTTTAGGTAGAACATGATTTGGTCCGTAGCCTTAGAGCATTCGTTTTAAATCAAAAGTTATTCAAAAAACTTAATCGAATTACCTTCAAGGAAGTTTGATGAATGAACCACCACTCCTCAGGATCACGTTCGTATGTCATAATGTATGGTCCATGCAGTTAGAAAGTTGAATAAGAGTTAACTTTGGGTGTAGCGCAGTTAAATAATGAAATAAAATGGGGTCTTTACCGGGTTATTAAAAACAGTGCCTTAATTTGGAAATATAGAATAAAATTACAGCAGCCAATTAACTGAAGAGTTTTTTTATAATTATTTATGGGGCAAAAGCCAAGCATTACTGACTCGGCAGTTGAGCTCGACGCTGCAGAGTACTCTGGAGCATCGTAATACAGGCCAGGGACGCAGTAATTAAAGATAACAGCCCCGTAGGCCTTCAAAAAATGTCCGAGCATCATGCTAGTAAACAGGCAGTTCTGAATCCGTCTTCAATCCTTACTTACTTCGGCCTAACCTATTCACGCTCACAAACTTATTGCGGCTAATGAGGTTATGTGAGGGGTATGTTTGTTCATTCGTTTATTTTATTACTTATTTTTTAAGGGATTGGAGAAATGTTACAACATGAGTGGATTAGGCCCAGGATCTGGTATGACCAGGCTTAACTTAAGCATACTTCAGCAGTGTCTCTACAGTGTACGCGTACGGCGCTATTGCTTTAAGCACTTGACTGCTATGCACTATAGCAAGCTTACCCATGGAAAGGAATGTGAGCCAAACTAAAGCGCACATGCAATCTCATTCTTGATCAAAGCGGAAAATGGCCACAGAAGTTTACGACGCTTTGCTCTAGCAAATCTTTGCAGTTTGGTAATCTTTTTGCCAATTACCATATATTATTGAAGTCGCAATCTAGAATAGCATATAACACTGTGCTAATCTTCAATATTGTTATATTAGGTCTGGGCACCTTGCCCCTGTTTGAAGACCTAATTAGGCAGATACCTTGACCTGTTTGAAGGTCTAACTAGACTCATACCTTGCCTTGCTTGAAGACCTAATAAGGCTCATACCTTGCCATGTTTGAGGGCCTAACTAGGCGCATACCTTGTCCTGTTTGAAGGCCTTATTAGGCACATACCTTGCCCTGTTTAAGGCCTTCTAAGGCACATACCTTGCCCTGTTTGAAGGCCTTATAAGGCACATACCTTGCCCTGTTTAAAGCTTTATAAGGCACATACCTTGCTCTGTTTAAGGCCCTATAAGGCACATACCTTGCCCTATTTAAGGCCTTATAAGGCACATACCTTGCCCTATTTAAGGCCTTATAAGGCACATACCTTGCCCTGTTTGAAGGCCTTATTGAGGCATGTCTGGCAGGCTGTATGGAAGCACACCAAGAACTTAGGTCGGCGGCCTGTGTCATCATAGCGCTGGTTGCACACCGAGCAGGTCAGCACGCTGCGCAGCGGCGTCGCCAGACCTTCGCTCACCGACGAACCTGTAACGCACGAAATATTCTTACTACAAATTAAAAGTTATATGTAACGGTTAATATAAATAATTAAATAAATCGTGGATTGTGTACGAATTGAGGATTTATTTATGTCGGCGTAGTCATAATCATGAAGTTAATGCTTTAGTTTACGATGAAGTAGACTATAAGGAAGCGGGTCCCAATTTAAGTCATATAAGACTAGTAAACCTGACATTCGTTACCTTTCCTCAATCATAATAACTATGATTAATTTGTGCATTAATTAAGCAGTAATTTGGCCTTAATCACTGCTATGTGATATTAAAAAAGCATATAAAAAAAGAATCACCTAAAAGTTTGTATCTCTTCCAAAAAGTCAAAGGCACCGGAAAAAAACGACAGTTTGATTAATTTTAAAATATTAAAACAACGTTGAATTGTACCAATTTTATTATATTTATTTCGTCCACGAGAACTTTTCCATTCAATTACTCACATATTTCTCTACGAAGTGACATCCGCCCCCAGCAACCTGTCGCCATTGAACAAAATCGGAAACTTTAATTGAAACAAAATAAATAATTTCATTGCATCGTTTATATTTTTATTATTAATACCTCATATATAGCCCGGGCCACACTCATGTTGGCGGGGACGCAGCAGGTGAGGGGAGGAGTCGTGGCCTCGCAGCCTCCTGGCGAGGGGAAAAATTATGAGGGTCGTGGTGAGGGCCTCACATAATTGCGATGAGGGCCTCACATGAATGTGATGAGGGCCTCACATAATTTTGATGAGAGCCTCACATAAATGTGATGAGGGCCTCACATAATTGTGATGAGAGCCTCACAAAAATGTGATGAGGGCCTCACATAATTGTGATGAGAGCCTCACAAATGTGATGAGTGCCGCATATGAATGTGATGAGGACCTCAAGTGATGAGGCCTCACATAAATGTGATGAGGGCCTCACATAATTGTGATGAGAGCCTCACAAAAATGTGATGAGGGCCTCACATAATTGTGATGAGAGCCTCACATAAATGTGATGAGGGCCTCACATAAATGTGATGAGGGCCTCACATGAATATGATGAGGGCCTCACATAAATATGATGAGGGCCTTGCATAAATGTGATGAGGGCCTCACATGAATGTGATGAGGGCCTCACATGAGTGTGATGAGGGCCTCACATAAATGTGTTGAGGGCCTCACATAAATGTGATGAGGGCCTCACATAAATATGATGAGAGCCTCACATAAATATGGTGAGGGCCTTACAATAATGTGATGAGGGCCTCACATGACTGCGATGAGGGCCTCACATGACTGCGATGAGGGCCTCACATGAATGTGATGAGGGCCTCACATGAATGTGATGAAGGCTTCACATGAATGTGATGAGTGCCTCACGTGAATGTGATGGGGGCCTCACATAAATGTGATGAGGGCCTCACATGAGTGTGATGAGGGCCTCACATGAATGTGATGAGGGCCTCACATGACTGCGATGAGGGCCTCACATGACTGCGATGAGGGCCTCACATGAATGTGATGAGGGCCACACATAAATGTGATGAGGGCTTCGCATAAATGTGATGAGGGCCACACATAAATGTGATGAGGGCCTCACATAAATGTGATGAGGGCCTCACATGAATGTGATGAGGGCCTCACATAAATGTGATGAGGGCCTCACATGAATGTGATGAGAGCCTCACATGAATGTGATGAGGGCCTCACATAAATGTGATGGGGGCCTCACATAAATGTGATGAGGGCCTCACATAAATGTGATGGGGGCCTCACATAAATGTGATGAGGGCCACACATAAATGTGATGAGGGCCTCACATAAATGTGATGAGGGCCTCACATAAATGTGATGAGGGCCTCACATAAATGTGATGAGGGCCTCACATAAATGTGATGAGTGCCGCATATGAATGTGATGAGGACCTCAAGTGATGAGGACCTCACATGAATGTGATGAGGGCCTCATATAAATGTGATGAGGAAGAATCCTGACATAACAGATGTAATGTCTTAATAACCGTAATGTAATAAAAGTGTAATGACTTTACAGGTGCAATGCCGCGACAAACTTAATGCGAGAAAATATCCAAGCTTGCCTCGCTTAGCCTGATATAAAGACGTATCTGTGCTACGGTCAGAGAGTGAGTCATGATTTGCATGATATGACGGAGACATTTTTATTGGTGTATGCTCAATCACTGAGTGGCTGTCACTGAGTGGCTGTCACTAGTGAGTGGCTGTCGCTGAGTGGCTGTCACTGAGTGACTGTCACTGAGTGGCTGTCACTGAGTGGCTGTCACCCGTGAGTGGCTGTCACTGAGTGGCTGTCACCCGTGAGTGGCTGTCACTGAGTGGCTGTCACCCGTGAGTGGCTGTCACTGAGTGGCTGTCACTAGTGAGCTCTATGGGGTCAATGAGATCATGAGGTAAAGGTGTACTGTGGTTATAGGCGAAATATTATATTTCAATAATGGTATAACATTTTATTATAGACATCATCCTGATGAGATGGAAGCATCGGTTTCTATGATATAGCGCACATTTATAAATATTGATGCGAAATTTACTGACGAATTCGTCATGAAATTATTTCGACGTAATTTCACGAGCTGACCGCGGTCATATAGCGAAACAATTATGAAGAACAATATACTTCAAACAAGTCATTACATTGCTTGAAGATCCTTCAACTAGTTTTTGTTTGGCTGCTCTATTATTTGAATAAAATATTTTTTAACGTAATATTCACTATGCAATTTAGAGGCTCTGCATGGACACTTTGTGCAACAGAATTTGTAGCGATTCAAGATTACGCAGTGATACACTAAAAAAGTGTGTTTTTGCACTTGTGTGTCACTAAATAGCGACCCAAATAATAAAATGTGTGGCTATTTGCACAACATGACCCGTCTATTTCTCTCAGTGCTCCGTCATTTCTTGCATGGCAAGCGCGTCTCGTCATCCTGATCGATGATGTAGGATTTTTCAGGCCTGGATCTACGGAGGTCATCGTATGGAGTCATTTATGATAGCAAAAAATTGTTGACAAAACTGAAACAGGAATATTTTTAGCACATTTTCTCATTTGTGGAAAAATGCCCTATTATGCTCTTCATGTCCGTCCGTCCGCCCGTCCGTGACTTCACGTTTTCGTCGATTCTGAGAGAATGCGCTCTCTGTCACTCACTGCATTGAGTACTGAGTTATATTTTCTCTTGTCGCTATTACTAAGCCATACATGTTGCTGTTACTAAGCTATCCGTGTTGCTGTTACTAAGCCATCCGTGTTGTTGTTACTAAGCCATCCGTGTTGTTGTTACTAAGTCGTGCGTGTTGCTGTTACTAAGCCATACGTGTTGCTGTTACTAAGCCGTGCGTGTTGCTGTTACTAAGCCATACGTGTTGCTGTTACTTAGCCATTCATGTTGTTGTTACTAAGCCATACGTGTTGCTGTTACTAAGCCGTGCGTGTTGCTGTTACTAAGCCATACGTGTTGCACTAAGCCATCCGTGTTGCTGTTACTAAGCCATACGTATCGCACTAAGCCGTACGTATCGCTGGATAAAATCTGTACGCCTGACAGAGAAACACGACAAACACAAATTAATTTCATTCTGACAAATATTATTTCCCTCCGTGAAAGTTATTGCTCTCGTTAATCCGAGTACCAATTACAATGTCTGAAACCTACAATATAGAATAATATTAGATAAAAATATGGAACCTAAGTCTACGGAATTCAATACCAGTATTTAATTATCTTTCTTAGTTCATTCACTATTACATGGAAGCTCAACATTCAATAATCTCGGTCTCTATACAACAATATTTCAAACCTAAATAAGCGAGTAATAAAATTCAATGTAACTCGTTCTGACATTACCAATAAAAAGCTGTGTATGGGCCCTAGGCCTGATAATCACGCGTGAAAATTACAACTTTGCATGATAGGCCGTCATGCATGGGCCTGCCAGCACGGCCATCACGCGACAAGATGCACGACATTATGGAGCCGTGCCACGCCCTCCCGCTGTCACGGCACGCTAACTCTTCTTGTTTATTACGCCGTGACTTCACTGCTTGTTTATGATGCCGTGACTTCACTGCTTGTTTATGACGACGTGACTTCATTGCTTGTTTATAGCGACATGACTTCACTGCTTGTTTCTGATGCCATGACTTCACTGCTTATTTTTGATGCCGTGACTTCACTGCTGGTTTATGACGCCGTGACTTCACTGTTTGTTTATGACGCAGTGACTTCACTGCTTGTTTATGACGCCGTGACTTCACTGTTTGTTTATGACGCAGTGACTTCACTGCTTGTATATGACGCCATGACTTCACTGCTTGTTTATGATGCCGTGACTTCACTGCTTGTTTATGATGCCGTGACTTCACTGCTTGTTTATGACGCCGTGACTTCACTGCTTGTTTATGACGCCGTGACTTCACTGCTTGTTTATGACGCCGTGACTTCACTGCTTGTTTATGATGCCATGACTTCACTGCTTGTTTATGACGCCGTGACTTCACTGCTTGTTTATGACGCCGTGACTTCACTGCTTGTTTATGACGACATGACTTCATTGCTCAGATTGCGAGCCTCCTTACGACCTTCACTACCAGCCCCATATATTCAAGCAAAATACTCAAGCAAATTAGTGAGATATTTCAAAATAGCGAAGCAATTTTTTCCAGTACGTAAATCGTCCAGACCTAGTGTGGCCCGGAAATATACCGTGTAAATGTAACGTCCGCACTTTGCTCGTGCTGCGGTTGTAAAAGTGCATCGCCTTTGGGAAAAAATAGCCCATTATTTTATGAGCGTAGTTACTGCTGCAACATACGTTAGTTTGGCGTTTAATGATGTGTTTGGAAAATATAATTGATAGAATAGTAGAATTTTAAATTTTAATATTAATTCAGACATTTGAGTCTTGCGTTAGTAGGTCGCCTAGTAAAAGCCGTTTACTTACTTCTTTGGGTCATTTAAATTATTAAAAATTAGATATTAGAATTCCTTAAATCAATGCTTATGGTCAGAGCACCACGCCTCACTGCCCTCAGCATACTTAGCAGGATGCTGTGTAATATGTACACTGTACTCAGTATACTTAGCAGAATGCTGTGTAATATGTACACTGTACTCAGTATACTTAGCAGAATGCTGTGTAATATGTACACTGTACTCAGTATACTTAGCAGGATGCTGTGTAATATGTACACTGTACTCAGTATACTTAGCAGAATGCTGTATAATATGTACACTGTACTCAGTATACTTAGCAGAATGCTGTATAATATGTACACTGTACTCAGTATACTTAGCAGAATGCTGTGTAATATGTACACTGTACTCAGTATACTTAGCAGAATGCTGTATAATATGTACACTGTACTCAGTATACTTAGAAGAATGCTGTGTAATATGTACTCAACACTCTGTTCACACAATATACACGCTTCACCCTGTGCGCATTCTGCACAGTGAGTACACTCTCTACAGGCTGCACACTCTGAAAACTCTGAAAATTCAACGCATATCACATTAGCACACTGTGACAACTCTCTTGTAATAGTATGCTAATGGATTTTGGGACGCAGGAACAGTTGATTCATTCTATATATTTCACACTGGGCCCAGTCTCCCCACGCTGC